TCTTTTTTTTTTTTTTCTTTTTTAAAAAAAGGGAATCTATTTCAGGACCCGGGGGTGATTCATAGTTCCGCGTTTCAGGCGGAGGGCAGATGGAAAGGCCTCCTGGGAGCGCCTCTCTGCGGGGCTGGCCTCCTGCCCGGGATGCTGTCCTCTCCCTGCCACCAGTTCTCCCACAAAGGAGAAGGACGGGCACCAAGGGCAGCAGTGGGGCCAGCACACACCCCACTGCTCCCCACCCTGCTGCCTGCCATGGCATGGCACGGCATGGCACGGCACAGCACCAGCACCACACAGCACGGCTACTACCACCCTTATTGATCCCCTCACCCAGCCCCTTACGGATCCCTTCGGGTGCCCACCTGCCCCCTAAACCCCAGCTTGGCTTGGGAACCCTCGATGAAGGGCAACGCTTCCCCTCCCAGCCTTGCTGCCCAGCGCTAAGCCTGGGTTAACCAGCAGAGGAGCATCGTTCTGAGCCGGGGGGAAGCCAAAAGGGAAAGCTATCGGGGGGTGAGCCACTCCTTGCGTTTCCATGGGTTGTTAAACCAGAACCCAAATCAGACCCTGGTCACTGCCACCCTGCGGGGACCGAAGGCTCAACCTGCCCCTGGAAGGGCAGTGGATGCCCTGCCCTGCCCTCCTCCTCCTTTTCTTAGCTGCTCTCCATCACAAGATGAACCCCTGCACATCGGGGAGGCTGCTCTGGCCCCGCAGGCTGCACGCACCATCCCCTCATGGCTGGCAGCAGATGGGTGGCACTGGGAGCTCATGGGAGATGGGCAAGGGGGGCTGGAGGAGGAAGGGGCCACCATCCATCTCTGTGTGACCTGGGGTCCAGCCGTGGCACCCACCAGCGTTGCCCCAGGGCCGGAGCTGGCTCAGCACCCCCGCTCAGGGCTCTCCTCCTTCCTTCCTCCCTTTCCCAGCGCCTCGCCATGGCCCCCCTTGGCCTCTCCTCCCACCCTCCAGCGCGGCCACATTTTTCTGGGTTTGAGCTCATTCTTTCCACTCCCCTCTCTGTCGGTTGCCAACTTTCCATCCCGTGGCTGTCCCCCCTCACCCCCCCTCCGCCTCCTGCCGCAGGGAAACGCCGGCTGCGGCTGTGGGAGAGCCCGGCAGCAGCAAGGAGCCCCTGTCCTTGGCATGCAGCCCCCGTCCCTGGTGTGGCTGATGCTGTGTGAGCTGCAGCATCGCATCCCGCAGCACCAGGAACCAGGGGGTGCGGGGAAATCCAGGGCAGGGCCCCGGCAGAGCAGCTGGAGACAGAGCAGCAATGTTTTGGTCACTGTTTTGGGGAGGCACGAAGCAGCACAGAGAAAAGGCTGAGCAGGCTTCCCTTGTCCTTGGGGATGGAGCCCACAGGGACAAGCCTTTGCTGGGATTTGCACCTGTGGGGAGACTCTTCTCCCACAGGAACAGGGCGCTTCCCCATCCCAGTGTCCCCTTTGTGCTGGTGACCCCCTCTCCAGCTGCCCCACGCCGGCCACAGCCAGTGGCTCCCCACGCTGGAGCCGCAGAGCCAGCGGAAACTCCTGACCTGACCCGGGGAGCGAGGGCACCCCTGATCCTCCCTGGCGCCGGGCCCGGGGCCACCGAGCAGGCTACCCCACAGCATCCCAGCTGCTTGCCGGCAGCGCAGCCTAAAAAACAACCAGCAGAGCCCACGGAGCTCCAGCATCGCCTCCCCGGGTGCTCGGGGTCACTCGCTGCTCCCTGCAGCCAAGCACGTCCCTTCCCGGCTGTGCCACGCTGCTGCCCATACCGTGCTGCTTGGCTCCTGTCTCCCTGCCCCTTCCCAGGGCACCGGGAGCCACCGGGCACCCTGCTCCTTGCCCAGGCTGTGGGTCCTGTGGGGCTCAGGGGGTTAGAGCTCAGCCCTTCCCAGAAGCTTTTCCAGCACCACTCAGGATCTGGGAGATGCAGAGGGGCTGGGGGCTTCTGCCATGGCAGGGGACAATGCTGTGACCACTGGGTGAGGAACAGAGACTTCTGTCAAAGGTGGATGAAGGATCTTCCTGCCTTGAGGTGTTTTGTCTGGGGAAGCTGGAGCAGGAGGCAGGTTCCCTGCCCCAGCTGTGAGCAATGAACTGGGTTTGAATCTGGACACGCAGCCCCAGTTCAGAGCTCCCCATGACAGGGACCCAGTGGAGACCAGCACCTCCCTGATGCAGTTTATTCCGGAGATTGAGGGTTTCCCTCATTGCACCAGTAAAGGAAAACCTTAGTCCAAGAAGCTCTGGTGCCAGGGAGACGCAGCACGAAGCCCTGGTGTGGAGAGGGCGGGTGCCAGGTGATGCTGTCCGTGCTCCCCCAGCCCCTCTCCCCAGCCAGCTCCAGGACTGTCCTCGAGGTGGACACCACGATGGTGCCCTCTCTGGTCCCTGCCACCTTGCAAAGAAGAGGCACCACGAGTAGGACCAGCCACGCGTCCTGCAGCCTCCGGAGCTGCTCCAGCCCTGCAGGCAGCCCTGCACCGGAGCACGGCCACCCCTCACCTCTGGCTCCCCAGGAACGTCTGTAATCCAGGATCCCACCACCCCAAGTGTAGGTGCCCATCCCACCCTCTGCTCCGTGGGTGCAGCCCAGGGGACCTGGCACCACTTCTCCTGGAGGGGGAAGCGGCTGGACCCAGAGCACCCCGAGCATCCCTCAGCACCGGTTAAAACAGCTCCACGTCCTCAGCATCGCTCTGGCCCCATCTGGGCTCTCCTTGCACCCGTGGAGCCACCATGGGCAGAGAGGACAGTCTCTAGCCTGCGTGTGCAGAGGGACGGGCAGGTGGCGGCTCTCAGAGCACGGACAGGTCGTGGCAGGACTTGGAGCGGACTTTGAGGGCCACTTTGCTGTTGTTCTTGGCCACCAGCCTGTCGAGGAAGCGCCGGGCTCTCTTGGTGAGGCTCTCCTTGCGCCTGTGGCCGGGCCCGGGGGGCGCACGGGCCTCCTTGCCCCCCTGGCGCAGGCGGATCTGCCGCACCACCCCCTCGAAGAGCTCGGCCACGTTGTGCTGCAGAGTGGCCGACGTCTCGATGAACTTGCAGTCGAACACCACGGCACAGGCACGGCCCTCTGCGAGGGAAGGGACATGTCACCCTGGGGGCAGTGGCTGCACGTCCAAGGACAAGGGGGAAAACGCAGGGGAAGCAGCTGGGACCCCTGGGGGGTCCCCACCGGCCAGATTCCCACCACCACCACCACTCACCTTCGACGGAGACCTCGCGGCACCGCACCAGGTCGGTTTTGTTGCCCACCAGGATGATGGGGATGTCCTCGGCCTGCCGGGCACGGCGCAGCTGGATGCGCAGCTCCGAGGCGCTCTTAAAGCTGCTCCGGTCGGTGATGGAGTAGACGATGACGTAGGCGTTCCCCACCTGCAGGCACTGGCTGCGGTGCCGGCTCTCCTCGCCCTGCCACCGCCCGGAGAAGGAGGTGTCACTGCCCTGCATCCCTGACCACCACCAAGGGGACAGCAGAGCACCTCAACACCAATGAGACCCGCCAGCCCACCCCACTAGCCCCCACATCGTGGGGAGCAGATTTGTGGCCCCATTAATAAAGTGATGATTAAAATCTCCTGATTTTGAGGGGTGTTTGAGAGTTTCCTCCTCAATCAGCAACAAATCTGGGGCCATGGGTTTGGCTCGGTTTGGGAGGCTGAGGCTGCACCTCCCAGTCCCACCCTTGGCCACGCAACGCCAGTGCTGTGGGTGCAGTGAACTGTGTGAACCAGGCACCAGTCCCTCCAGGGTGGGATTAAGCATTAGTGGAAATAAAGGGCCGTTGTGGGGGGCATTACGGAGCTGGGACCCCCCCGGAGAGCTCAGCCACCCATGAAAATGCAGCCCCAGCCCATGTCGGTGCCGTGCCCACCTTCACAGCCTGGGCACTGGCTCCATCCCTGCTCCCAGGGACCGGGCAGCACCCATAGGAATGCCGAACCCTGGCATGGAGGGAGGCAAAGAGGTGTTTTGGGGGAGGCAGTGACAGCAGCACCGGCATTTCTGCCCAGGAGATGCCTCTGTGCAGAAGGAATGCCCCATGCCAGGCTCTCAGGGCCATCTCTCTGCCTGGTAGAGCACGTGCCCTGGCTGGCAGCACTGTCTCACGTGGATTTGCTCACTTGGCTCCATCAGCCCCATTCCCAAACCATTTCCATGCATTTCAAAGAGGGCTGGCACCACGCTCCTTCCCCACAGCCCCTTCTTCCCTTCCCAGCCTCCCTGCCCACCCCTAGTGCGAGGGTGGGCACCACCTGCGCTCGTGGTGCCACACCACGAGAGCCCCCACTGATGAGAACATGGTGGGCAGCCTCCCACGCTGCCCAAGGTCAGAGAGGTGACCCCAACCCCTGCCTTTCCCCAAAGGCCAGTGGTGAACCCTGCATATGGCTGGTGAAGTCCCAGGGAGCTCCACGGGGCACAGTGGCTGTGCCCATACAATGTCCCCTGGGCACGTCCCAGCTCACCCAGCCCCGCTGGCAGCACCCAACCCCGGCCCTACCGTACCCGCTGCTCCGGCTCCCAGGTGTCCATCACCAGCAGCGTGGTCTCCTCGCCATCCACAGACAGCGTGCGCTCGTACGTGGCCCCTGTGAGACACCAGGACAGCCCAGTTGGCATGGCTCTGCCCGGGCACCGAGACCCGCTCCTGGTCCCAGCAGCGGGTTCCTCTCCGCCTCTCCAAGGGGGTTTTCCCATCATGGGGCCATGGACACATCATGGACACCCATTGCCTCCATGCCACCTCCTCTGGGCCCCGTGGTGGGTGACCCTACTGCAGAGGGGCCCCAACCACCCCCGTACTGGGCACCCACCCCCGTACCGGTGGGTGACCCTGCTGCAGAGGGGACCCAACCACCCCCGTACCCGGTACCCACCCCCGTACCAGGCACCCATCCCCGTACTGGGCACCCACCTCCCTGCTGCTCCAGCAGGTCCCGCTCCTGGATGCCGGCGAAGAGGTTGACCAGGCTGGTCTTGCCCACGCCGGGGTCGCCCAGCAGCACCACCCGGTAGAGGGGCTCCCAGGAGCCAGAGGAGCCCGAGGAGTCGGAGGACCAGCTCCCCCGGGGTGCCGTAGCCCGGCCACCCGGCTCGGAGGCGGAGTAACCGAGCTGGGGGTGACAGGGCTCGTCCCGGGAGGTGGCACCCGGTACCCCCGGCTGCGGGAGAGGGGTGCTGGCCCTTCTCCGCAGCGGGGTCTTGCTCCCGTGCTGCGTGTTCAGGGTCATCTGCGGCACCGAGGGCAGCGGGGCTGGGAGAGGCCGCCCCGAGGGGCCCCGGTTCCCTGGCAGCCCCCCCGACCGCCCCACTCCCGGTGCCCGTTCGAGCCGGCGGTAGCTCGGGAACAACTTTCCCCGGGACAGGCTCGCAGCCGCCCGGTCCCGGGCTTTAAACCCCGGGAGGTGGAGCCCCCTCGCCGCGCCCGGTCCCTCCCCCGCCGGACACACCCCCGCCCGCACCGGGCCCGGCTCGGGCCACCCTGTCCGGTCCTCGAGGTCCCCGCGGGGCTCCCGGTGCCGGAGAACGGCGAGTTGCCCCGGGGCGCGTCCCCTCGGTGGCGGGGCACGGCGGTCGCACCAGGAGGCTGCGGGATGCGCTGCCGCGGGCGGGGGTTCTGCCACGCTCCCGTCTGGGGCAGGGTCCCCCCTCCGGTTCCCCGGTCGTGCTCCCCGCGGCCCCGGTCCCACAGCACTGCACGGTTCTGCCAAACCAAACCACCCCAGCATCGGCACCCCGTGCTGGAACCCCAGTCCATCCCATACTGGGATGCACTGGTAGGGATTCACAGCGCCAGACCCAGTCCCAAGACACCCCTCACGGTCACAACACGTGTGACGGGGAGGCCCCTTTTTGGTTTGAACCCCTCCGGTGCTACCGGGATGGCATGAAGAGGATGGATTCTTCACTGTGAGGGTGGTGGAGCACTGGAACAGGTTGCCCAGGGAGGTGGTTGAGGCCCCTTCCCTGGAGATATTCAAGGAGAGGCTCGGCGAGGCCCTGGGCAACTGGTCTAGTTGGGGGTGTCCCTGCTGACTGCGGGGGGGTCGGACTGGATGACCTTTGGAGGTCCCTTCTGGCCTGGGCAATTCTGTGATTCTATGATCAGGCTGCAGGAGGGCTGGGATGGCTCCCCGGGAGCTGTGATCCCAGGGCTCACCCCGTGCTCCTTCCAAGGGACTGCAGCCTCACGACTGTGAGTGACATCACAGCCCACACGGAGCAGGAATGATGGTAACACCTTTACTGCAGCCTATAACCACATCAGCCAGTCCCCAGGGGGCTGGGATGGAGAAGCGTGGATGGGAAAGGAGGGGTTTTGCAGCTGAACCTCATCCACGCCATGGGATCCCCCGGAGCCTGGCTGAGCGTCAGACAAGCGGTGTCTCCTTGGTGGGGATGCTGAGGACCACCTCCGTGTCTGGTGTGCACCTGGGAGAGAAATGAGAGTTAGGAGGGGAAAGAAAACAGTGGGAATAAGCCACCACGCTTCGTCCGGTTCAGTGTAAGGGGGAGGAGAAGCTCCTGCGTGGCCTGGGTGGGAGGTGGGTGGCTGCTTGGATGCTCTGTGGAGCCCACCTGGAGCTCAGAGGCATCCTGTGCCCTGCATGGCATCAGAGGGCACAGGGCGGGTGGAGGGAATCACAGAATCACAGAATCTTCTAGGTTGGAAGGGACCTTAAAGATCATCTTGTCCAACCGTCAACCTAACTGACAAAAATAGACACCCACACAACAAACAAGGAGCATCATCACTAAACCATACCTCCCAGCACTACATCAACCCGGCTTTTGAACACCTCCAGGGATGGTGCCTCAACCACCTCCCTGGGCAGCCCATTCCAATGTCTGAGCCCATTCCAATGTCTGAAATTGAAAACTTGACCATTTCACGGTCGCTAAGCCCAAGAAGCCTGCCTTGTGCCTGCTGTAGCACCTTCTCTGTGTCCCCAGAGTCCAGGACTGGTTTTTAGTGGGGAGGGCCCAGACACTTGTTCTGCAGCTGGGGGAGCAGCAACAAAAACCCTTTAAAAGCAGATGGGGGTTGTTAAGCACAGCCCCTGTTCAGCATGAACCAGAGCCCAGCCCGACCTCCAGCTCACCCCAGCACTAGTTTGCTTTTTGGCTCACCCATCATGGCCTACCCTTGGCCACCAAGCACTTTGCCTACAAAAGAAACCAGCTCCAAGCCTCAGCCCTGCTCCACAGCCCTGTCTCACACCGTGCTTGTGACAGAGCCCTCTGCAAGAAAGCCTTGCGCTCGCCGGCCTTCCCAGAGAGGCAGAGGCAGATGTAGCCCCTGGGGCTCTGAGAGGGAGAAGGAATGAAATTAGCCACCCCTCGCTGTCAATCTTGAAAGACAAACAAAAGTGGAGAAAGCCCGCCGGAGCAGCCAGGTACATCTGCTTTCTCGCAGAGAGAGGACAAGAACAGTGAGCTGGGCTTGCTCAGAGCTGGGCCCATCCATCTCCGTCTCAGCCCAGGACAAACTGTGCATCCAGAGTGCCCCCAGCACAGGGCTTGAAGCTGCTGGGGAAATCCAGCCAGGGCTCCTTGAAGCAAGATTTTTAAAGAGGGGAAACCGATGGGAATGGATACACAGTGGGTTATAGCTCCTCTGGGCTCCACACACAGGGACCCATGGAGGGCCTGCAGGAGTCCTGTGCTCACGCACACCCTTACACTTCCAGGCTGGGCCCAGCTCACGTCCGATTTCGCTCTTTCAGGAAGCAAATCCAGTGTCTGGAACCAAAGGGTTAATTAGAAAAACCGAAGGGCTGGTGAAGTCGTGTGAAAAGTTGCAGGGAGGTCAGTGGGAAAGGGCTGAGAGATGGCGGAGAGGGCTCTGGCACAGGCTCCCGCCTGTCAGGGCGGGTAAGCACCAAATGCCTGACTTGTGATGTTACAGAAACTTTCCACTTGGGCCTTCCTGCTATTTTTAACTCTTCTCCCAGCCACCCTCAGTAACCCCAGCCCCACCAGCTGTCGAGGCTAATTAATTCCCTCTTTTTATCATTTTTTTTTATCAGAAAAAAAAAAAATTAAGTCACACTAATCCATCACGCAGCCACTCGCCTCCCCCCGCAGCCTCCTGACACGTTCCAAGCTCTCCTCCCGCTTCGGCTCGTGCGTCCGCGGTGCTGCAGCCATACCTGGCTTCCAGCTAAAACCCAGGCCCCGCAGCAGGAGATCCAGCCCCTCTTGTCATCTGCACCACCATCAGTTTCCTGGGCGAGCACCCGCTCATCCCAAAGGATGATGTTTTCATGCAAAATATGCCCTGTGCACACGTGAGGTGCGGAGGAGCCGAGGGGCACCTGCAGGAGTCACTGGAAAGGAATGACGCCGTTAACAGACGTCCCTGTGCCAAGAACAACTTGTATAGGCAGTTGTGTAAATAAAAGCACATATGCACGCTGTTCCACACACAGCTTACGGGATTCGGGGTACAGCATACTCCAGATTTAAATGCATTTGACCCATTTTTTTTTCTCAGGTTTGCATCCCTGGTCAGCGGATGGCACAGAAAGCCGAGGCACCGCAGCAGCTCTGGTGATTTTTGTGATTTGTCCTGCCCTGGGTAGGGCCCTGCTGTCTTCACAGAGTGAAAACAACAAGGAAGTAAGAGTCAGTGTAGGCACAAGAGCCTTGAAAAGCTCTGCTGGTCCTGACTGGCCCCGGCTGCAGCCACTAATAATCTCCACTTTCAGGCTGCACAAAAGGAAGCCCAGGAGAGAGATGTGATGTGACCAAGGATCAGTGTTAGAGTTGTGGTTACTTCCTATCTGCTCTTAAGCAAGACCACAAGACCCTGCAGCTGTCTCCCCAAGCAGAACCCAACGTAACTATGGGTTTATAGCCCGGGCTGGACATCAGTTTAACAGTGACATCTGTGGAAACGATGGGGTAAGGTTATCAGCACTCAGTGCCAAAGCCTCTGCAGCCCAAGGCCTCAGAGAAAGGGCTGTGTGTGCCCACTGACCAGCCTTACTTCGGTCTGCGGAGAAAAACATCAGCAAAGATCAGCTCTCTTGGGTTTCTTGCACTCTGGCGGAGTGTCTGGATGTTCCTCTTCAGCTCATCGATCTCCTCCTCCAGGTGCGTAACAATCTGAACGAACGACATTTCTAAGAGTTCTTTACTTTGCAATAGAAGCAGGAATTAAAGTTTTAGAGATTTTGCAAACAGCAGAGCTAGAAAACATCCCTTGTGCAAATAAGCCACTAAGAGGCTTCCTGAAATACCTGCTGGACTGCTCACCCCCAGGACGTCCTAACAGCCCCCTGACTCCAGTGGAAATGGAAGGCAATGTACCCCACTAAGGCAGACAAAATCCTCAAGAAGGGCGAGGGCTGAGGGTGGCTGTCTCTGTTGCACTGTGTTGGTTCTTCCCCAGCTCACTCACCTCCCTTTGCCTCAGTACTCCACATTGCAGAATGTGGTTGTTTATCATCATCTGCTTCAGGCCATCCTGGTGCAGCAACTTCTCCTGTGTGGGTGAAAAGAAGAAAACCAGCTGCAAAAACTCTCCAGTAACCACCAGCATTAAACCCTGCCACTGCTGGCTGCCAGTGCTGGCTGCGTCCAGATGCATCACTCTTCAAGAAAATAATTTCTTCTTATCAAGGTTTGGGTTCCAGCTCTAGAAAGAGACTGTCGTTGTGATCGCATTGTGCTGATAACGGGACGAGACTGAGGAACTCAAGAGATCCACTTCAATTTCTCAGGGAAAGCTTATTAATATTGTTTGGGTAACTTATATCACCTGTGCTTCCAAACTGACCTGTCAAAGGGTATGGCAGCTCTGCATCAGAGCAGGCTGTAAACAGTCAGTAGTTAATATTTCCTCAGTGCTCTCAAGCTGTTAACCCAGGAAAAGTGCTAAGAACATCATGAGAGCAGGAACTGTGCAACAGGAATTCCTCCTATTTTGGGAAGAACGACAGCAGCCCCTGCTCTCTAGTGCTGCATATAGTTTAATTTCCTCATGAATTTATTACAAACATATGTGCGTTGCCACAGCGGTGTCACAGCCAATTAGCCAGGCAGCTACCTAAATAATGTAATAAAACAGGGACTGTAAAAGCAGGGTGAATGTTGGGTCACAGTGTGCTCACCTCCACACAGCGAACTCCCAGGAGTGAGAATATTTCAACACATCAGGCTACAGCAGCATCTCAGACGTGCTTCTCATGTACCCTCCCAGCCTGACAAACAGCTCCACTACGGCATCGGGAGGGGAGCAGTGATGTTGTTACTCTTGGGGTCCTGGCTGCACCGTGCTACTGCTAATGGGTAATGTGTGGAAGGCCCTGCCTTGTCTCCCAGCTCACAGAAACTGATTCTCCTTGCTGGGACTTCACACGAACTCCACAAACCTCCACAACTTTCTGTAATAGCGCCTCTTGTTCTGCCTGTGCCTTCTCTTCTAGTTTCTCCAAGACGGCCTTCCCCATTTTTTCTGTCTTGTCTACCTCCTCCTGAAAGAGAGGGAACCAGTGCATAAAAAAACCCAGGAGCGTTAGGCACGATAACCATTGTGTTCCTTCCTCCCTTGCCCTCTCCTTCCCCCCTGGCAACGCTGCAGGGAAGGAGAGGTCTCAGCACCTGGTGCTGCTTCTTCAGGTTCTGGATGCTGCGCTGCAGAAGGACTATCTGGACATCTTGTTCTGGAAACTCCCCATCAATGTAGGTCCGGAGGACGCTGAGCTCATCCTGGAGAACCTGTACCTTTGAAGTGACATCCTCCAGTTGCTCCTGTAGCTCTGATAGAAAGTCATAAGAGAAAATTTCAACTCAGGGGGGTCTTGAGCTTCGCTTCTTCACTAAGGAGTCTGTCCTGAGTTTGCCTGTGTCCTTCTCCCTACATATATTAACACACCTCGTGGGGAGTGGGAACAGCCACCTCGAGTCAGACCACTCTGACCAGATCCTGCCCCGATGGGACAGTGCAAACAGCTGTCAAGGGGGACATTCTTCTACCCACCCCCTGCCCTGAGCACAGGCTGCTGGGTGTCACAAGGCTCTCCCGCTCCTGACAGGCTGACGGGAAGATCATCCCCATAGAGCAAATGGGATTCATTTTCAGAAATGGAATTGTTTGACATTTATAAGATCAACACAGTGTCTTTAACCTAGCAAGATGGAAAGCAAAGGTAACATGGTTGTATAGACTGCATTTCACAGTAATGTGAGCAACTCACTTCCCAGATTCCTTTCCATTGTTTTTTCCATTTCCTGGAGCTCTGCCCTTGCTGTGTCCAGCTGGTTCTGATTGAAGGTCTGCACCTTTGCCTTCATCCTCTGCACAGGGAGAAATC